AGTAATTCCATTTAAAAAGTGAAACTTGTATATTATATTCATACATTACATACAAACTCATATATTTCAGATGTTTATTTTGTTTAATTTTGATGATTACAAATGACAACAAATGAAAATCTCAAATTCATCATATCAGAAAATTAGAATATTACTGAAGACCAATAAAAACAAAGGATTTATAGAAATGTTGGCCAACTGAAAAGTATGAACATGAAAAGTATGAGCATGTACAGCACTCAGTATTTAGTTGGGCCTCCTTTGGCCTGTATTACTGCAGCAATGCGGCGTGGCATGGAGTCGATCAGTCTGTGGCACTGCTCAGGTGTTATGATAGCCCAGGTTGCTCTAATAGTGGCTTTTAGCTCTTCTGAATTGTTGGGTCTGGTGTATTGCATCTTCTTCTTCACAATACCCCATAGATTTTCTATGGGGTTAAGGTCAGGAGAGTTTGCTGGCCAATTAAGAACAGGGATACCATGGTCCTTCAACCAGGTACTGGTAGCTTTGGCACTGTGTGCAGGTGCCAAGTCCTGTTGGAAAATGAAATCTGCATCTCCAAAAAGTTGGTCAGCTGCAGGAAGCATGAAGTGCTCTAAAACTTCCTGGTATGTGGCTGCGTTGACCCTGGACCTCAGAAAACACAATGGACCAACACCAGCAGATGACATGGCACCCCAAACCATCACTGACTGTGGAAACTTTACACTGGACTTCAAGCAACGTGGATGAAGTGCCTCTCTTCTTTTCCTCCAGACTCTGGGACCTTGATTTCCAAAGGAAATGCAAAATTTACTTTCATCAGAGAACATGACTTTGGACCACTCACCAGCAGTCCAGTCCTGTTTCTCTTTAGACGCTTCTGACGCTGTCTGTGGTTCAAGAGTGGCTTGACACAAGGAATGCGACAGCAGAAACCCATGTCTTTCATACGTCTGTGTGTGGTGGTTCTTGAAGCACTCACTCCAGCTGCAGTCCACTCTTTGTGAATCTCCCCCACATTTTTGAATGGGTTTTGTTTCACAATCCTCTCCAGGGTGCGGTTATCTCTCTTGCTTGTACACTTTTTTCGACCACATCTTTTCCTTCCCTTCGCCTCTCTATTAATGTGCTTGGACACTGAGCTCTGTGAACAGCCAGCCTCTTTAGCGATGACCTTTTGTGTCTTGCCCTCCTTGTGCAAGGTGTTGATGGTCGTCTTTTGGACAACTGTCAAGTCAGCAGTCTTCCCCATGATTGTGTAGCCTATAGAACTAGACTGAAAGACAATTTAAAGGCTTTTGCAGGTGGTTTGAGTTAATTAGCTGATTAGAGTGTGGCACCAGGGGCCATCAATTTTGAACCTTTTCACAATATTCTAATTTTCTGATATGATGAATTTGAGATTTTCATTTGTTGTCATTTGTAATCATCAAAATTAAACAAAATAAACATCTGAAATATATGAGTTTGTATGTAATGTATGAATATAATATACAAGTTTCACTTTTTAAATGGAATTACTGAAATCAATCTACTTTTTCATGATATTCTAATTTTATGACCAGCACCTGTATAGTTACATGATACATACATGTTGTGTTCGAGCTATTCAAAACAAATTAAAATAAAATGGAAATCAGGCCATATAATGGTAATCTCCAACCAGCCTTAAACATAAATTCAATATTTTGTTTTGCACTTTCATAAGTTATTTTGATCCTGATATATATTAATCCATAATGGCTCCCAAAGACATAAAATAGGAAAGCTAAAGCAGTATTTGAATAGTGTAGAAAATAATGAATCATTGTGAAATATGTTATTATTCTGCTTTTATTGCAAACAGAAGAATAAGCAAATCCTGCTCAGATGAGATTATTTCAATTTAACTTGGTTTGGATTTTGAAGCCTCGTAGAAAAAGCATGAAATCTGAAAAATCTGTTGAGGAAGTGACTTTTTTTTTTTCTTTTTTTTTTTAGAAATTAAATATTAGCATGGAGCAGGATAAAAGACAGAAAAATAATCCGACCTCTACCTCATCACTACCTATGGGAAATGCTTTTTGAACATGTTTCTATTTACCTTGTAGGGAATATCTCCACATTTCTAAATACATATTAATACAAAATCATGTATTATACATTAGGAGCATTGCATGCTCCCAATTTATACATTAGAAGCATGTAGAACTATAATGCCGCTATAATTCATTTTCTTTTCAAATCACTGAATACATAGCAAATCCCTAATGGAGTTGCAGAACTATCTTGTTCTGCACAGCATCAATGACCAGTTCAAGGTTCCTCCTGAATTTGACCATTGAGAGCTCTGCCAGGTATGATATGAACATTTCCTGGAATGAGAAGTCTGATTCTGGCAGTTTTTTCTCAAGTTCTGTTTTTGTTTTTTGTTTGTTGCAATAATCTATCTGTTGCCAGTCTCTATTTATAAGAGAAAATATTTATACCTTTTCATTATTGAAGCCTAAATACTTGCTAAACTAACCATGAAAGATTTACTATGACAAAGCAAAGCAATCACCACTTAATATCAGTTTTAAACAAACACAAAAAAATTGAATTACATCGTCTTATTTCAACAGTAGGAAACTATTTTCATCATTGAATTAAAAAGGAGGAAGAAATATACAATTTTCTTCTTTAGCGTAAAACAAACTGACACTTAATATTCAATAATATTCAAAGTTCATAAACATCAGGGTAAATAGTGACCACTTGTGGCCAACTATAAGAATTGCAAGTCTCGTGAAATGACACACTGATGATATATAGTTACATGACACATACATTTTGTGTTTAAGCTATTCAAAAAAAATGTAAATAAAATAGAAATCAAACCATATAATGAAAATCTCCACCAGCCTTAAACGTAAATCCTATATTTTGTTTAGCATTTTCATGTTTTTACCCAGTAAATTATATGATACGATCATTTCAATAACTCCTTTTCACCAATCATTTAGTTAACATTACAGAATAATAACCATTTTCAACTGTTTTTTGAAAATTTTGAAGTGTTGGTGTTAGGGAAGTATAAGATTCCAGACCATGTCTTCCTGTTGTGCTCTTCAATTTATTATTAAAAGTAGTTTATAATCAGTTTATTATTGAAAGTAAACAAGTATTTTAATGAATCACAAAAACAAGAATCAGGTGCACAAGTATGAATTTATTGTGAATGTATTTCATTTAATTTAAATAGTAAATAAATATAAAAGCTCAATGTTTACAGACAAATCAATGTATTAAAGTTACCTTAGCCCATTGCAAGAAGACCCCATGCTTTTTGTAGCCATCAAAAAAGTTCAGGGGATATGGACCTTTAATTTTACAGAAGGGTCATTCTCTGCACTTTATAATTGAATGATTTATCCACTTTTTAAACAGGTTAAGTCCAGTTGTATCACCCCGCTGTTAAAGTTTCAATCATATGACCAAAACAATCCCTCTCAGATGACAGGAAAATCAGAAGCATGTTTAGGATTATTAAGGCCTGAGCTACTGGCCACACTGGTGCCACTTTCCATGCTTTTAACATTTTTCCGGAGAATTTAGATAATTGGCTCCTATAACAAAATCAAAAATCCTTATAAAAAAGCGAAGATTATGTGTTTAAAGAAAACTATCCCAGTTGACCACAAATGTGGTGGCTGTGGCATGATTCTGTATGTTTGTTTTGTAGATGCATCTAAATTAGAAGTGACTACACATAAATCTCAAACCAACATCTCAATAGCTGAAACTTCAATTTAGAAAAGGTGTTAAGCTTCAAACATCTAATTTTCATCCCAATGGAAAATTTGTTGACTGGCTAAACAGAAGGTCTGAATGAGGGGTCAGTAAACCAACCAACTGGAATAAACATTTCCTTTCATATAATAAGTGAGATTAATCAGGAGGCCTGCTGATGGCTGAACATGTTTGGGCTGCAGACCCCAGAGGGACATCTGTACAAAAAAACTGATATAATTCTGTTTATTCTGTTATATCACCCTGAAATCATCTCAAATGCATTCTAAAAAACACCAAATTCATGACATTCATTTTCATGATGATTCTAATATTCTCTATTGAATAAGAACTATTGAGTGTGCTCAATAAGGTGTACCCTTGCACCATAAAGACATCAAATGTGCATAGTACAAGTATTAAAAACCAACATACAGTTTGGCGAAACATGCAGGTATGAGTACAAAATATCCTTTCCCTTTTCTTATACAGTCAACACTCAAGTGCTGAACTAAAACATGTGGAAGCATTAAATGTTAGCGTCGACACTGTTCCATTCAGTCATTTCTATCTACAAAAAAAAAGAATAAAGACAAAAAAAAATAAAACACAAAGGTAAAAAAATTCAGATTTCTTCTGTATCAGAAATAAAACAGACAAATAAATAAAAACCATTTATCAGAGTGCCTGGTGCTTCTGACTAAACACGTCAATATATCTGACATGCATAGATCTATAGAAAGTCTCCCTTGGCACTATGCTTCCATCCCAGTTTCACATCATTAGCCTTCTTTCACAGCTGAACAACTGTTTATTTACCTTGCAAACATATGCATGCTTATAAATGGCCTCTCCTTAAATAACATGAATCTAGCGAGATGAAGGAAACAAAACAAGGTTTGAGTTTGACTTCAGCTTCTGTAGTCATGAAGTAAATAAAAAAAAAACATAATGCTGCAGGATAAACCTTTATCAGTAACTCAATAAAACTGTGTTTAAAAACTTTAAGGAAAAAACGTGTCACTGACGCATTCTGCTGTTCTCACATACATTACAGGCAGAATTTAATATCCAGCTTTGAAGCAGCTCACTGAGCTCTAAAAGTGAAAACACCTTAATACGAGTTTTACCAGATAAAAGGTCCCTTTTTTCTCCTATTCTGTATGCAGTAAAGACAAATGTGATTGTTCACAGAGCACTACATTAACTGTTTTAAATAGTTTAAAGCTTTCTATTTGTGTGGGAATTTGGATAAATGTTTTTTTATATATATAAATGCATGCATTCAATGAAGTAAACATGTTTCCACTTCCCTTTTTCCTTTTTTTTTTGTAAACTGTACAATCTTTTAAATATGTAACAAACAATGCCACTCTAACACAGTTGGAACTTGGACAATCTTTGTCAGGAGGCGTTCTCTGCCAAAGAGATGGTCAGCTGTGATGGTGAGAAAAAAACCCTTTCCCTTTATCTTCATCAGCCAAGAGGACCTGAAAGTCTTGTCAAGTATAAACGTGGAGGGAAACCGGAGGTTAAACCATGTTGAAAACCTGAAGCTGAACCGTTGAAGCCTGAGACGAGGCATGCTGAGAATATATATGCATGCAGGACAGGAAGTGTAATTTGAGTGAAAAAGGAATGATAAATCAAGGTTTATGGGGGTTAACCCCCTGGAAGGTTCACATATGAAGTCACAAAGCCCACAACCCCAAAACTATGCTGTACAAGAAGAGAACGGGTAATCAGTCACAAAATCATCACCAAAGTGCTTGAATTCATCAATTTAGTCCCTTTTTTCCCCATGAAACATAAACGTTCATGTCCATAAGTGTTGACGGCGGTTTAAAAGAATAAAGGGGTGTCGTGTTGTGCAGTTACAGGCAGGAAGATATTAGTGTGCATAAAAAGCTGTCTGTATCAGGAAAGAGCCTCGTCTTCTCCTACGTAGGGCAGGTCCATGCTTTTCACACCGTCAGCGCTCTCTTGTTTCCTGGATGACAACAACAGACTCAGGATCAGTCACAGCCATGCCACCAGGAAATGCTAATCCCAAAGCCACTATTGAGTAACTCAAAACAGGTTTGATTTCCAAAGGACACAGAGCAACTAAGGGGAAAAATGGGGTTTCTAGAAAAAGAAACATACAACAAATATATATAATCTATTACATTTGATTCAGCTGACTTTTCCACTGAGAGGACAGCCTGCTTACAGAGGAGGAGTTCAAACGTCTGGCTTTAATGCTTCAATGTTGCCATTATTTATGTCTATAATTGACATATCTCAAAATGCTGCCTTTTTTTTATTATTATTAACAAAAAATATTTATGCCCAAGTTATGTTAAAGTATGTTAAACAGTACTGCCAGATATTAGGAGTTAGACACAATGGTTAGAGCAAGACTTTTTATCACTACCTAATGACATTAATGGCCAGGATAGTGAAAAATGTTGGCAACTCCAGGCGGCGCTTTGACCTACTTGGACTCTCTGATGATATGAAACAGTGGGAAGACACCAGACAGTGATTTCATATTTCTTTCTTTTCTATAGCAACTCTGATTTTCTATTAAACTTGAAGCCAAAACAGTTGCTTTTTTTTCATTGTACAAAAAAATGTGTTTAACTTGAAAGAAAGGAGCTTAAAATTTACATGATTGCAATTTCTGCATTTACATAAGTAATACAGCAAAACAGCTTTACTTGAAACTGGAATACATAAGTCTCTGAGCAACAAAATAAACACCAAGAACTAGCCGACTTTAGTATTTTCAGTCATGTAAATATTAGACGTTCTTTTTATTTCAGTAAGTGTAATTTATGAAATTCACAGTGAAACATAAAACAAGCTAATTGCTTTGCCTGCTGTGGAAAATTCCCCATAATGGTTCATCAAAATGAGCTTGAAATGGTTGAGTTACTTTGCTATGACAGCAGTGATAGGAAATAATAGATGTCATTGCAATCTAAGCCAAAGTCAGGTCCAGAAACTTCCTTCCCATTTTGCCTCCAGGGATAAACAACATATTTTGCCCAAGGAAATGACAGCCTACCAAGAATCCCTGACATAAACTATGTGACACCATCTGAAATGAAGCTGCAGCATTATGAAAGACAGTTGTGGTACAGCCACATGGCCCAAGGTCTCCAACTGTTGTCATGGTACCCTAAATGGTACTCACGTGAATGTTCTTCGCGGAGCACATAAACTGCTGCGGTCCTCCTTCCGGCTCAAGTCGAAGGGATTCCCGAATGAGCGCTTCCTCAGCATGGTTCTGACCAGTATCTGGAAAAAGTAGAAGAAGGCAAAACACACGTGCTAAAGCTAAATCCGTATTACATGACATCACATCCTTTAAAATCTATTCAACAAAAACCTGCAGTGTATTTGCAGCTGACTCTGATGTTTTCTCAATGCTCATTAATGAAGAAGCTCACCACTGTAGTGAGGCTTGGGATGTGCTTAACAGAGTTCTCCACTTCCTCCTCCGTGACCTCAATCAGTGAACAGTTGTCATCCTCAGGAGGAAGAGGCTCGGCACCGTGCTTTGTCACCCATGGATGTGCCTGGAAAAAACCGAAGGAGCTATTTTAGACCTAAATGAATATATGATCACACAATAATAAAGAAACAGGGTAACTATTTTAACATGTATGAACATTTCAACAGGAAACTGCTTTTAATACCAAAAATACTTTTTGGCAACATAAAAGAAATATTGCCGAGCACTTCTCCTACTATGGCTAAGGTAATCAGATGATTAAAGTGGAAGTAGGGGTGAACCTTTTAAGGAAAATAATTTTAATGGTCCTCTGCTGATGTTTATACAGTAAATAAATAATGGCTTGCTCCAAAGTTTCTAACTGTATGGTTTCACAAAACAATAACTAGCTACAGGAACTGCTAGTTTTTTTAGTGTCCTAAAAAATTAAACATCAGATTAGATGTGGAGCATTAGCTAAAAAGGCTTATCTTACAATAATCTGCATAAGAAGTGCTAAGTTACATGGACAAAAAAAAAAAAATCCTTGTGTTATAAGTTGGCATGTGTGATCTACAAAGACTGTGTGTATGCAAAGGATCAGATGTGCAGAGCAATTAGTTTTTTGGCCCATTTAAATAAGAAAATCATATTTTCTTCAAGCAGTTTGAGAGACGCCAGAAAAGAAAGATGAAGTTCTAAGCCATGGAGATGGAGTCAATGGAGATAATGGTAATAATAATAAAAAAACAATTATAACAAAGGAGAATATCATTCATAGTCTATAATTAACATATCTCAAAATGCTACAAAACAACAGTAAGAAAAGAAATGTGAAAGTAACAACAGTTAAATCTAAAAATATAAAACAGACATCATGAAGATTGAAAAAAGGTCCCTGTTCTGACTGAAAAGGAGCCACGGTCAGAATTACGGCAAAATTAAACCCTAAGCCTCCACCAACTCCTCATAAAACCTCCTTTACCCAAAATAATTAATCAGAACATTAAAGTTATTCAAACACCTTACATATTAAAATGAATAATTTTAGCAATACAGTAACTCTTTTTATTTCGGACACACGGTAATGCAGTAAGAGGTTAGAGGGAGGACCATCAATAAAGGCAAAGTATCAAATACATTAAAAGGTGTGGCATCCCTTACTACTGTGCTTCCTAAACAGAAGGAGCGTGTGTTACAAGAGGTGCAAGAACAACTCTGCTGTTTTTGGCATAGAAAATACAACACAAATGTTGCACCTACAATGAGGCAAAAGCACCACCTGCTGCTTGGTCTGTACTGGCAGTCAGTTTGGTCTTTCCTCTTTAAGCTTTAACTGCAAGAATGTGTCAGCCTGAAAACTATTCATACAGTCATTAATGACTCTAGACTTAGACTTAAGGGCTGGTTATACCCCCGCAGCAGTGTGTCGCAGGGAGCTTGTCGCAGGTATGATGCAGATATTTTTGCTTTATGAGCTATGTTAGTCCACGCAGCAACGCAAGAGGGACAATCGAAAAATAGCTACAGGTCTAGATACGGCCGAGGCAGTGAGGAAGTGGAAAAACGTAAGGGGCAAATTATGAGACAATGTAGGGACATGAGGGCGAAAAAGGTGTATCAGAGTGTCTGCGGAAGGGGCGGGGCTGTATCTGCGTTAACTGCGACACACTCAGACGACCTGGTTTCTCAACATAAACCTGCCTTTAGACAAACTTTGTCATTTTGTACACACTGGGTCTATACTAGAGATGTCCCGATCCAGGTTTTTGCACTTCCGATCTGATACCGATATTGTTTTTGGACTTCCGATCCGATACAGATACTGGCCGATACCAGCCTATCCGAGCATGTATTTAAGTTAAAGTATTTAGCCTTAGTTGTAAGACTCATGTTGAAAAGGGTTTTAGTACTCTTGATAATATCTAGCCAGCTAAATTAGGTGAGATTGAATAAAACACAATGCTTGGTAACAACAAAATTACCTGTTTATTAAGAGATAAACACAAACTGGACAAAATTATGAATAGCAATCTGAAATTGCACAGTGAACAGTAAAACCGTAAACAGTTAAAGGTGCAAGTATTACTGTAAGCTTTAATAAAAATGCAAAACAGGGGAACACTGGCGCAAAAAAGTGGAATGGATCGTTTCAATCGGCGAAACTGGAAAATACGGACCGGATTTTTTTTTTAAAACTGGATTGGCAGTCTGGATCGGCATTTTACATGCTTTGCCGATACGCATTTTTTTGCCAATATCGGCGTCCCGATCCGATACGTGGATCGGATCGGGACAAGCCTAGTCTATACAAAATGAGATTTTGTTCCGTACAGCTCTCAAGACATTTCCATTTCATAAAGCACAGCAGTGATAAAATTATAATTAATTATAACTCTCAAAATAATTATAACTGATCAAATAAAGGATTTAATTGCAGATTCAATCTGTTGGAAACTGTTATTTTTATGAATTAATTTAACTGTTAGAAAAAATAAAAGATTTGAGTTAAAAAACTGAAAATCTTTTCAGATTATTTAATTCTAAAAATGCCTGTTTTTACACACAGGAACATACAAACAAATTATAAAATATTCAGATTGTTGCAAACATTTTAGGCATCTTACAAAACAACAAAATGAAAAAAAAAGACATTAATTTAAAAGGAGGGCCCTCATTATTCATCTGACTTGAGGATGATAACTAAGCTCACCTTTATCTGTGCCACTGATATCCTGGTTTCTGGATTCTTGTCCAACATTTTCAACAACAAATCTTTGAGGTCATCTGATATGTCTGCACTGTTGGCACAAGAAAAAACAAACAATACAGAGCTTCAGAATAAACTAACTGAAAAACAAAGACAGCCTAAAAAAAACAAGTAAAAAGAAAATAGTTTAAGATAAACCAGCAGGAAACCTTACCGATCTGGAATCACCACCGGCTGGGTTTTGATTTTTTGATGTAAACTTAGAATGCGCTCATCCATAAAAGGACACTGTGGAGACAATATACATTTTTTTTATGTCACCATCAAGTGAACATTTGGGGCTGACTTTTAAAGCAACAAGGTGTTTCTATAATTTCCAGGCAAACACTCACCACGCCAAAGACGAAGCAGTAAAGCGTCACACCCATAGCCCAAACATCCAATGCCTTTAAAAAGAAAAAAACAAGAAATACTTTTAAGCCACATCAACTAGTAAACATCAACATCTCTGAAAAGCTAAGAGTAAAGTGTTGCGTTTTTAAAAGCAGTCTCTAGATGGCACTGGCTAGCCACAAACGCTGCCTCACCTTCCCAGAGAAATTTTTTCTGGTCTCAGAAAGTGTTTCAGGAGCAAGGAAAGCAGGTGTTCCCACGGTGCTGGTGAGAAGAGCATCAGCTCCTTCAAACTGGTTACTAACTCCAAAGTCTGCAATTTTGATGTGTCCATCTTCTCCCACCAACAGGTTAGAAGGTTTGATGTCTCTGTGGATGATCCTCTGGTAATGCACTGTGAAAAAATGTAATGCTGCTACTATTAACAGCAGAAAAATCTCTGGATAAACATCATATTGCCTGCTTATCATGTAAAGAAATAATATAATGCATTTTTTTCTCATCAGATGATGAATTATAGGTAGAAATGATTGTTATAACAAGTCAAAAATTTTATTAAGTCCTAGATATAAAGCTCTCCCTCTCCTTTCCTCCAGATAATAGTCTCCTAGACAACACTAGTTTAAAAGCTTTTCTGGTGAGATGAAATGCATTAGCAGCCAGAGAAATCATGTGAGCCTTGTGGGTGGCTAGAGTCAAGTAGAGCTCACAGAAAGAAGTTAGTAAAAACAGGATAGCATTGTGTAAACAAGCCTTAATTACACAGTGGGAGAATTTGAATGTCTAAACCATGATAGGGACGATCCTTTATGACACTTCTTGTGTACATTATATAAAAGCGATAAAAGTATAGTAGTTATAATCTATCACTGTTACAGATTAATTTAGAAACAAAATAGATTCATATTGATGAGATAAATGTTTACATTACAAGAGGTTTGGGGGACTTACAGTATTCGATTCCTCTGACCAGATCCCTGAAGTAAAAACGGGCCTGGTCTTCACTGAACGGTTTATCAGTGGGCACCTCCATCACAGCCCTGAATACACATAAACAGATACCCACATCATCACATTGGTAGCAATCAGAACTAATGAGATGGAATTCAATCCATTACTACAATCTTAGCCATGAAAATGTCTTGTCTTACCCTTGCTTCACCAGTTCAAACACTGCAACATAAAACAAAACATGAAACTAGTAAGGGAACAACCTTTAAAAATGCTGTTTGCAGTCTGAACGCTGACAGTTTGGCCAAGAACATACCCATGTACAGATGGTCCTCGCTGGGGTCATCCAAAACCTGGCACCACAGCATGGGGTGGAGAAAATGAGCATTAATGCAACCAGACACACCAAACACACAAAATGCAATCTTCTTCATTCATGTGAACTGGAATCTCTAACAGTAGAGCATAAATTACTGTTTGGGAGGTGAAACCTGAACAGCAGTGTTGGTGCTTCTGTTTTAAGGTGCAACAAAACAACCTCAAGAATAATTTGAAGAATAGGAAAAATGTGAAAAAAGGCTTAACATTTTTCATGGTTTGTTTTTTCTGTTCTGAATTATCATTATGTCAATAAATAAATAACATGCATTAAAGAAACTGCTTTTTATCTGGAATAACTCCCAAATAGCAAACGATTTGTTGACTCTAATAAGACCCTCTTTGCTGCATTTTTCTCTCAGAGGGCTTTGTCTTCTTTTGTACCTCTCTTACCATCCTTCTAGTTGTGCCTTAGACATGGATCAAAAATGAAATTCTTTATATTGTCAACATTTGTGTTATGTACCATTGATGTATGGCTGTATTATTGCTCTTTAAAAAAATAATATACGTTCTAAAAAAAAAAAAAAAATGAAATTCTAACAATTCACGGCCCAAATGTAAAAATATCTGGGTTTATGCAATCATTGTATTATATGTTTTTCACAGAAAAACATTTTTTACATGATCTTTTGCGTTTATTTAACACAGCTTCCCATCCAGTTGCAGCTTGTCGAATGGTTTTAGTCAAATTCAAAAATATTTTATTTAATCCCCAACAAATGACATTTTCATAATTACATGATAGAGATAGTGGCTAATAGATATATTTTCTGACTAACCAGGGGAACAGAAAGAGTTATTGATTCCTAATAAAAGTTCAAAGTTCCAAACAGTAAAGTGTTTCATTCACATGATTTACAAGGACTGACCAATATCATCCTTTAGTATCTCTGCCACTTTTTGTATCTCTGCTTCTGTCTCCTTGAACCCCAGTCGGCTTCGGCAGATGGTCGCTCACACTGATCCTGGTTCTGCTGGAGGTTTCTTCCTGTTAAAAGGGAGTTTTTCCTCTCCCCTATCGCTACAAGCATGCTTGGTGTAAGTCAATGTGTCGATGAAATCAGCTGGTTTTCGTTAGAAAGAAAGCTTCTAACTAAACTAACTGTATGTCTGATCTGGTTAAATGGTCTCTGTAAAGTGCCTTGGGATGAAGTGTTGAGAATTGATACTATATAAATAAACTGAATTGAATTGAACATTTTACCACCAGTTGTAATCAAAGAGTCATTTCTTAAGCCTGAGTTATTGTCAAAAATGAAATGTACCCAAATTCAGAGCTGTTTTTAATCCCATTTCTTTACTTCAATAAAACAATCATTTGATTAAATACTTAATGTTTCTATTTTAGCTTGCTTCAAATAGCTTAATGATAATCTTTCTGTTGTGTCTCTTTCCCTCACTTTCATGCTGAATTTCATTCCATTAGACCTTGGTATATATATATATATAACCCCTTTTTCTGCCTCATTTAGCTTAGAAATGTCCAGTTTATAATGTAACCACCGCTAACAATGAGGGAAATATTTAGCACAATGGCATAGAAGACAAAAGCATCATGATTGATTTGTTACTCAGTGGATAAAGGGTGAGCCCAAATATGGAACTATATTTTTGACACATGCACTTTTAGCCTTTCTCAGACCAATAAAGTCCATTCTTTAAAAGCTGTTTCCTGATTGAATTTCTTAAGATTTTTAGCCTTGTTAATTTTATCAGACAGTTTCTTTGAGTGATTTCTTGATTCTATATGTCTGGCATGATCAGGCTCTGTCATGCTTTGTCAAAATGTGGTTATAATAGTTAAATATCTATCTAATAAGGGATGCAACTATGTTACCCAACTACCATGTAGCTTTCAGCTATTTACTGTATTCTTACACCAGTCTAAAATGAAAAGAATCAAGTCAACGACATGTTGAATAATTACATACCTCTACTAGTTTCACCACATTAGGATGGTCTAGTTTTTTTAGAATGGCTATCTCTTGATAAACTCGTTCCAGGGGGCCTTTGTGCTGAGCAGGCCCCTCAGGTGCTGCTCTAGTTCCACGAGGAGGTGGTCTCCCTGATGTAGGAGAAAGAAATAATTAGTGAATATTAAAGAATTAGATTACTGAGACATATCACATCATTTGTCTGCCATTCCGGCATTAAGGGGTCCTGCTGACTTACGTGGAAAACCTGCCTGCCTCAACAGCCTCTTCTTGGACAACAGCTTCATCGCCTACACAAGGGAGAGAGGGATGGGTTTAGATTTAGAGGAAGATAAGAACGAGGCCAGGAGAGCCCAGTGGGCAGAATATCAAGAGAAATGATGAACAAAGAGGCAGGAGGAAAAAAAAAAAAAGATACCACACAGTCAGATGCTGCATACACCTACAGTACAGATGACAGTTACAGCATCTAAGATAGAAAAATAAATCCTTTATCTTGAAAATCATTTAGTAGAGGAATGCCTCTCAGTAGCTATTAGAGCAAACTATTTTACAAGCGGGACTGAAAAATGGTTCTACGCAAGTACAGCGTGCAAAACAAACTCAATATAAAGAGCCTTTGATAAATATTCAAACCAATTCTTTCACTATATAACCATGGAATATATAGTCTCTGAAGATAATATGCAACAGATATGAAATAATATGGAAGATGGTGGTTTTGTGTAATGAGACCCAAATCAGTCACTCTGGATAGACTTTAGAGGGGGGTGGGTCCTTTGGATTTTATGATCTATTGACCACATGTCAAGTCTGCACCCTGAATTTTAACCACTTGCTTCTGGAGACAAGCAACAGCCCCCAAAGCAGCCATTTAAGGATAATCAGGCATAAGCAATGGATGGATACATGGGTATAAGCCCTATATGTGGAGGCTGATCAGCTATAAACAAAACCTCTATGATAAAAACATGGCAGCAGATTTGTTCTGAATGTGAACAGTTTATTTTCTTTATCAGAGATGAGGAGCCTCTGTAGAAATTCTGATAGAACCTTCAAAAGACTTTAGACTAATGCAAAAGTCCATCTTCCAACAGTGACTCTAAATGAAGAGTTGAACAATAAAAAAAAAACATGAAATTGCAATATTTTTGTTGAATATTGCAATAATGGCTGCAATTCATACATATTTTCCTGTGTCTTCACTTTATTATTTTACATCAGGATGATTCCCATTAACTTTAGTTTTGAAGACACTTATATCTGAATCTTTAGGGGTAATTGAGTAAGGCAAGCATCCACTATGGCGTGATTTAGTTAATCCAAATGTGGCTCTATTAAACCTACGGCCTGAGCTAAAATGGGACTGTTAAGATCTGAGCCTCTGCATGCTTTTAAATAAGCCAGTCTACAAATCGAGAGCATCTGGGGCAAAGTTAGAAAAAGCAATATTCTGAGACGCTATTCATTCAGACAGACAAGAAAGAGCCAAGCTTATACAGATGTATACCAAAATACTTGCAGCTGTAACCTAATGAAAAGCCCACTTTTTTTGCACATCACACTTATATACTGCTTGTGTTGATCCCTCACATGGAATCCACATATGAAATACATAAGGTTCAATGTTCTTACAAGTTAAAGGCAGAGAAAAGCTGTAAAAAGGTAAGAATACCTTTGGAAAGCACTGTATTCATTCAGACACATAGTCTGCCAATCTGCTCAACTATTATAACAAATTTTTAACAAATATATATATAAAATATAATATAATAAAGATATTAGTAAATCACTGTGCAATTTTTAATCACTGACATGGTGCTTAATAGGTTAATAATAATGATGTGTAAACATTCTTCTGTTTTTTACAGAAATTCCCTCTAATCCAAATAACAAGGAAATCATTGTCCTGTTGTGGGGTTTAATACTCACATAGTACATGTTGTCATCCTCATTGTAAGCCAGCTTAACAACACCATAGGAGCCCTGTGTAATAGCAGGTAAAAAGATAAGTAAAAAAATAACATTTCATAAAAATTAAACATAATGAATGTGTAGATGAATGTGTAGCAATGTGTAGCAGATAGCTTATCCCACAGTCCAAAGTGGCGATTCCATAGCAGGAATCTCTGCAATTATCATAAAAGCCTCCAATCTAACAATTCAATAAGTGAATTTAATTGTTAAGTGCTTTGAAAGTTGAGACAATAAAGTGCTGTACAGAAGAAAAAAAAAACATAACAATAATGCAATGAAACAGAAAGCCTGCTTAAATATGAAAATGTTTTACAGCTTTTTAAGATTCCACAGAGGTAGACTACAGACCTTCCGTCTATCTATTGAAATTCAAGGATATCATCATCGTCCTCCACAATACCAACAATCTGAACCATAAATGTCTACATGCATCTACTCCCTCGCTCAGCCCCCATCCACTAAGCCTGGAACAATCCTTAGAGAGCACTATTTATACCAGCCTCTCATCCATCTTCCAACTCTCTCATGAACGGGTGGTTTACAGTTTGGAAAATGAGGACAGCCGGGAGAGAGCATATCAGAGGCTGCTACTGCACGTCCTTGGTGATGTGCCTGTACTTGACAGACATGCAGTAGGAGGAAAGGAGAAGGGAAATGGAAGTCAGTGAAAGGGAGCAATCAGTAAGTGGTCTAGGATGGTACCTTTCCAATCTCATCCTTCAGTTTGTACTGGTTGAGCTGAACGCAGTCCTACAGGAGGGAGAGAGAGAAGAAGAGGGAAGAAATAACATCAGAGGTTATATAGTCTGGACAGAAGTCTTCTTGAATGTTTCCTCAAATCTATCAGAATAAACTATTCTGAAAAATAGGCAGCTGGTCTTTTTTTTTTCAACAGATGTTTAGTTGGTACCCAGCAAATACATGTAAAGTTTACAGCTGAGCATGACAGACAGAAATCTGAGATCAAAATCAATAAGGATGCAACAAGATTTACATTTGATCCTCCTGATCCACTGAGGCCAGCTCCACCTCACTCCACCCTAGAGTTTCCACTTCTGCCTGTTATGTTGTAGCGCCTGCTTTTTGGCGATCTGTTCTGGAACAGGGCCACATTGTGATATAAACCGATTGATCCACTGATTGGCCACTGATGTAAAAAACAAAACACTGATGACACAAATACTAAGGGACAGCAACTCGGCTGTTATTGGGTGCTATCACACACTCATGGGGATCCTATGAGGTTGCCAAAAGTTAAAGAATATGGTATACTGATGGAAGAGAAGGAGGACATGTCTTTCTACTTTCTGAGTTACACGTGAAAATGGGGTGCTAAACCTACTAACAGCCTACATCAGGTGATCAAAAACAAAATTAGATTTTCAGTAGCTGATGATGATTTAGCCAAACCTCAATAATGTGATTGTGATTTTATTTTTGCTTTTACGTTCAACAAACAACAAATATTTAAATGTTTTACTCCAAGCCTTAAGAGTTAAAGTTGTTTGAAAAGTGCTTAATTCCCCTGGGATGCAGTGAGAAAGTCTGCGTTTTATTCTTGTCAAATGTAATCTGACCAAATCTGGGTGCTTCTACAATTAGAAATTTGAATTTTGTTATATTGCATTTACCATATTTTCCGGACTATAGAGCACACCTCACTATAAGCCATGCTCACAAATTTGTTTTGAAAAAAAAAAAAAAAAACACATATACAGTTAGGGCCAGAAATATTTGGACAGTAACAAAATTTTCGCGAGTTGGGCTCTGCATGCCACCGCATTGGATTTGAAATGAAACCTTTACAACAGAATTCAAGTGCAGATTGTAACGTTTAATTTAAAGGGTTGAACAAAATTATCTGATAGAAAATGTAGGAATTGTACACATTTCTTTACAAACACTCCACATTTTAGGAGCTCAAAAGTAATTGGACAAATGAACATAACCCAAACAAAATATTTTTTTTTCAATATTTTGTTGCGAATCCTTTGGAGGCAATCACTGCCTTAAGTCTGGAACCCATGGACATCACCAAACGCTGGGTTTCCTCCTTCTTAATGCTTTGCCAGGCCTTTACAGCCGCAGTCTTCAGGTCTTGCTTGTTTGTGGGTCTTTCCGTCTGAAGTCTGGATTTGAGCAAGTGAAATGCATGCTCAATTGGGTTAAGATCTGGTGATTGACTTGGCCATTGCAGAATGTTCCACTTTTTTGCACTCATGAACTCCTGGGTAGCTTTGGCTGTATGCTTGGGGTCATTGTCCATCTGTACTGTGAAGCGCCGTCCGATCAACTTTGCAGCATTTGGTTGAATCTGGGCTGAAAGTATATCCCGGTACACTTCAGAATTCATCCGGCTACTCTTGTCTGCTGTTATGTCATCAATAAACACAAGTGACCCAGTGCCATTGAAAGCCATGCATGCCCATGCCATCACGTTGCCTCCACCATGTTTTACAGAGGATGTGGTGTGCCTTGGATCATGTGCCGTTCCCTTTCTTCTCCAAACTTTTTTCTTCCCATCATTCTGGTACAGGTTGATCTTTGTCTCATCTGTCCATAGAATACTTTTCCAGAACTGGGCTGGCTTCTTGAGGTGTTTTTCGGCAAATTTAACTCTGGCCTGTCTATTTTTGGAATTGATGAATGGTTTGCATCTAGATGTGAACCCTTTGTATTTACTTTCATGGAGTCTTCTCTTTACTGTTGACTTAGAGACGGATACACCTACTTCCCTGAGGGTGTTCTGGACTTCGGTTGATGTTGTGAACGGGTTCTTCTTCACCAAAGAGAGTATGCGGCGATCATCCACCGCTGTTGTCTTCCGTGGACGCCCAGGCCTTTTTGAGTTCCCAAGCTCACCAGTGAATTCCTTTTTTCTCAGAATGTACCCGACTGTTGATTTTGCTACTCCAAGCATGTCTGCTATCTCTCTGATGGATTTGTTCTTTTTTTTCAGCCTCAGGATGTTCTGCTTCACCTCAATTGAGAGTTCCTTTGACCGCATGTTGTCTGGTCACAGCAACAGCTTCCAAATGCAAAACCACACACCTGGAATCAACCCCAGACCTTTTAACTACTTAATTGATTACAGGTTAACGAGGGAGACGCCTTCTGAGTTAATTGCAGCCCTTAGAGTCCATTGTCCAATTACTTTTGGTCCCTTGAAAAAGAGGAGGCTATGCATTACAGAGCTATGATTCCTAAACCCTGTCTCCGATTTGGATGTGGAAACTCTCATATTGCAGCTGGGAGTGTGCACTTTCAGCCCATATTATATTTATAATTGTATTTCTGAACATGTTTTTGTAAACAGCTAAAATAACAAGACTTGTGTCACTGTCCAAATATTTCTGGCCCTAACTGTATAAGCCACACCGGGCTAGAAGCCGCTGATATCTACCGAACTGTCTCCCACAAAACCTGTAAGGGGAGCTCTACATATATCCTCTGGAGTAGACTAGACAAGAAGAACAATGCTAGCTCCCGTAAGCTTTTTGGTTCGCAGCAGTAAGAGCTTCTGCTAAAAGATGAAGTTGAGCCCAGCCTCTTCATTGATTCGGCAGCTTTAATGCGGAAAATAAATGGCAAAATGTGTGAATTCAGGACATTTGTTCTCCGTTGTGCCTGCTGGTAGCATGTTCTTGTGCTAAAGGAACCGGACAGGCTTGATGTAGAGCTGTCCAGTGCTGAAATTGTCAGTGGAAAAGGGAAAAATGGATCATAGTAGGACTGCAAATATAACATAAACAAATTCAACCATAAGCTCCAGTTCTTCAAGGACTATTCTACCATAACAGACCAGTTTAGGTATTGAATATATAAACCACTTTTAACAGTTTAAAAAATAATTCTACAGAAAGTCAATCTCTATATTTATTTAGCAAAAAATGTAATTATATCATGTAAAATATAGAAAGCAAATTTTGCAACCAAAAAAAAAAACATGACAATCTAAAAAAAATCTGATCCCAACATGACATCTTTTGTAGGATGGAGCACTAAAGAAAATACTAACCACATCTATTTCTACTGCAGCTAACAGCTACATTCGCTGTCTATCAAACCTTACCTGTGCATCCAAAGCTTGATCTTAACCAGTGGCGCTGCTTTTAAGAAGAAATGTAAATGTAATTCTGAGTTACTTAAAGTCCAGTTTTAGTACACTAACTGATGATAAAAAAGGAACACCTCAGAGCGTTTCTCTGTCAGCACTAGTTGACCCATTTGTTTGCCATGTTTTATTCAAGCCTCAAAACATTACAGTACATTAGGGTCCAGAAAAAACAAAAGAATATTTATTTCAGTTGTGATGCTTATGAACTCAAAATGACTGATATGCTATAAATTCTTTACCAGAGGATACTGGATAAACTAAAAACATATAAAATCAAGATACTCCATCATATAAATGGATGACTATTGGTGCATATGGCATACCCAAAACCCATCCTTGTATTTATTTAGTTTTTATTTGTGTGTATATCTTTTTGTGTCTTTATAAGTATGGAAAATGTATGCATGTGTGTATATACATATAGCTTTTGTCAATCTTACTGTGATGTAATTTGTGTTTGTTTGTTTTGTTAATGTGTTGTATCTATGTTAAAGAAAGTTCTACATCAAGTCATATAAAATAATCGGGATACTCTCTCCAGAGTGGAAATTAATTATTAATCTGCAAAGTCAACTGTGATTATGACATTTAGTTTGGATTATTGGTATAGAGATTCATAAGAAGTCTGAATCCCTGTATTTATGCATCCAGAAGTTTTGTATCTATTTTAAGGACTGGGAAATCTGGTATGTCATTTTGGCAAAAGAAGCCCACAGAATTTAAATGCTTGATAATTCATAAATCTATAAAAACAGACTAAGACTAAAGATGGTATAAAAACAATTGATTTCATTCAAAAAGCATTATCATACCTGGAGATCTGTGATGGAAACGCTGTGGGACTCCACAGTGGGTCGGCGAGGCAGGCGTGGAGAGGAGTGGGGAGATGTGATGGGAGAGTAGGGTAAGGATGGGTAAATATATCGCCCGTTTAGTCCAGGCGAGCTGCAGGGTGAGGGAGCGGTATGAGATCGCTCCTGGAGAGAGAGTTTCCGGTCAGACATGCTTAATCTGCTCCTTTGCTCTTGGCTTTCAGGAAGAAGAACCTCCGGCAGACACACGGTATGGGACAACAGGTCACAGGAAGGAGTCCCAAAAGGTGCTCCTGTTGAGGAAGCTTGCTCAGGCATCTCAGAGCTGTCCATTTCTTCCACCTGACATGACATATAGGTTTCTTATCTTTAACATTCATACGATTTACTAATCATGAAACAAATATATAAATCACTGTGTTTCATGTCACCTCTTCCTCTCCAGGTGGTTGACTTGTTTCATACTCTGTGACAACAATGAGGGACTCCATGGGGTCTGGGGATGGTGTCTCAGAGTGGGTGTTTAAAGGTGGAGTGGGACAGCTGCACAGTAGATCAGGGAGAGGTTGTTGCAGCGATGGCGCATGACTGCCGCAGGATGCCGAAGACTCAGCAGAGTGCCAAGGAGTTACATGACACGGCAACATGGTGGCTCTTCACAAAACGAGACAAGCACTCCTCCATCAGACCACAACCTCAAGGCCAATTGTGCCTAAAAAAGAATTTGTAGAATATAAGTGTGCTGAAAACATGCTAGCCTTTCAGTCACTCTTATTAGGTGATATATACCTAATAAGAGTGATTTGCTTCCTTAAATATGTTGTTTTGGGATTATTTTGGGTCAGCGCGGATGTCTGTTAAATGCTTTAGAGCAAAAAGCAGATTAATCTCAGCTTCCATTTTGAACAATAAGAGAGACTGGAACAAATGTCTATTCTTGGGAAATACAAAAGTCCATTTCATATTTGTAAAAAAAAAAGAAAAAAAAAATCATGTCATTAAATAAAAATTAAGGACAGAAGTGTAACTTTTAGGGCAAATGTGTACCCCAATTTGTTTACCCTGTTCACACAAAGAGAAAACTGTTACAACAGTCACTTAGATGGACTGAGGTCACCATGCTGTTGATTGTTCACGCTTAAAAACTATGGAATTAAACCAGAGATAGATTGCATTGACACTGAAAAGCAGATTTGCTCTTGGAAATGAAAACATTGAAAACTAAACACTTAAAACTCAATCCATCTATTTTCCGTCACGATTTCTCCCCGCTGGGGTCGCTAGGGCTGCTGGTGCCAATCTCCAGCTCTCTACCTGGACAGTTTGCCAGGTTGTCATGTTAACAGTCATGTTTTTAGACTGTAGGTGGAAGCTGGAGAGAACCCACACATGCTCAGGGAGAACATGCAAACTCCATGAAGAAAGGAATCGAACCCGGAACCTTCTTGCTGCAAGGCAGTAGCACTGCTGCTTGCACGACTGAGGAGCCCCTACTAAGAAACTCACTAAAATGTCAAACATTTAAAATTTAGACAATGAACAGATATTGAGAAGGCAGCCATTAAAGAAACAACCTTGCTACTGAAAGAATAAAACATTGTGAGGATTCCCTGATTTTATGCTGGACTTGTTTTGTCAAGAGATGGTATCAGTGTCACTGCATACCTGCTTCAGTTACAATGTCCTTGGTCCTTCAGGGGACTTCTTTTTTTATTATTTCCAATACTATTCTCTTCATTGGCTGCATAAAGTAGCTGATCTTAGATTAAGTGTCAACTTACATTTTGAGACATGAACCACAGGGCCGACTGTTCTTCAAATTTTTGTTGTCAGCATTATTAACATTATAATTATTTGAATTATACAGTCAGAGCTAGAGAACCAGAACTGAGAACAAGTGGCCTAGATGGCGATAAATGTTTGTTAAGTACTATGCATTCAGGTCATCTAAAACTATACACGTGATATATATTTGACGACACTTCAGCTTTAATGCAGTGTAAAAGTTTTATGAAGTCGAAAAGATTACCATCATTTAATATTCTTGTGTGAATTTCTGGATTTTTTTTTTTTTTTTTGCTGTAGCTATGCAGACAAAAACAAACTTAAAACTGAAGGATAAACTTACTAGCATGAGGTATTAAGTGCATTGGATGGCAGTTTGGTTTCCACATACTTATGCATACTAGTTAGAAACACTGCATGTCTAAAAATATAAATAGCAGAAGTCTAACTCTCTATGCAGCTGGACTTTAAATGTCATAAATATTTTTCACCGACGTCACAACATAAGCAGACATTGTGGTTTTCACTTGAGCCCTCAATCGTCTTGACTTCTTCCCACACGCTCTGTAATGCGCTAATGAATTCATCTGCACACATCTAGTTGCACCATTTTCAGCTCCTGTAAGCAGATGCAGAGTGATGCTTCTGAAGGAGCAACGTTTGAGTAAGCTTTTGATGTCACTTACACAACAGGATTAATTATTATCTTTACAGCATTTAATGAGAACCTTGTTTTTTATTTTGCATAATTTAAGATCATATTTTCCATCTCAAAGGCCTCTCAGCTTCTTATATGCTCATCACCTGAGGAACAAGAAGAGCAAAGCAGAGGAGGAAGAAAGATCTACATCACTTTTTAAGCGGATTTAGATCATATTAATACATGGAAACCTGATAAGTTGATACAGGGGAAGAAAATTAAGCCAAGAGGTAAACATAACCATGTGTAGGCTAGCCAAGTGTTAAATGAGGACTATGTGTGGGAGAGACGCCCACTTCAGGTTAGAATCATTTCCTGTCAAACACTAACAGATGCTTTGAAGCACCAGATGCTAAACTATGCGCCTTGCACCTAAAGTCACACAAGTCAACCTGGACAATCTGGGCATGAGGAGAAAGGACAGGAGAACTAATCAGAGCCTGTGGGGGGTCCAAACTTTGCACAGCATTAGTTAAGACAGATATGTGGTCCTGCAGACATACCAGTAAAACACGGGGCCATCTGGAACAGAGGAGCATTCCGGGCCTCATTAAGTGATACAGATGACAACAGCGCCAGCGATGTGTGTGGAGGCATGCAGCAGATAAGCTGCTGTAAATGCAAGAAAGGATCTCCTAGATTAACCTAAGTGCAGCATTATCACACAGCTGAGAAGCTAGTCAGTCATTTATCTTTAAATCCGGCACAGGAGAACAAATCTAGCTATGGAATAAGAGCTTCTCTTTTAAATAAGGTTAATGCATAACAATGTTTCACCTTCTTTTCATAAGAAAATAATCTATGCGGAATTAATACACACAAGTTGATTAAAAAGCTTTTAAAAGATGACATTAAAATGTTTAACTGACTGATTGTTATTCTGTTGTTGGGAACATATTTTGATATTTCAATTTACTTTACAGGTGGTGGTTACTTAATTTGTCAACAAATTATATTCTGGGTTTATGTAGTTTAATGTGTTTTGCTTGTTAAAGAAAATATTTCTACAATGTTACTTTGGAGGGGTTTCAAACCTGGGAAAATAATTGTCATAAGTCTGTGAAGGCTTCTGTTGAGGTCATTCTTGGCTGTCTTTGAGGCTTTTAGAATCCCTGACAAAAATTATGGAATCAACATCCTAGGAGGATTTTCATTCAGTTGTTTAATTTTGTAAAAAAAAAAAAAAAAAAAAAGGAGATCACAGACATGACACAGAATTAAAGTCATTTGAAATGCTAAATGTCTGGCTTGAAGAAACACTAAAAGAACTCAGGAAAAAAAATGTGGTAGTCAGTAATGGTTACTTTTTTTAGACCAAGCAGAGGGAAAATAATATAGAATTACTCGATTCTGAGGAAAAATTATGGAATCACCCTGTAAATTCCCATCCCTATAACTAATACCTGCATCTAATTGTACCTGCTTGTTAGTTTGCATCTAAAAAGGAGTGATCACACCTTGGAGAGCTGCTGCACCAAGTGAACGGACAAGAATCATGGCTCCAACATGAGAGATGTCAATTAAAACAAAGGAGAAGATTATCAAACTCTTAGAAGAAGGTAAATCATCACCCAATGTTGCAAAAGATGTTGGTTGTTCAGTCAGCTGTGTCTAAAATCTGGACCAAAAACAAATGACATAGGAAGGTTGTTAAAGGCAAACATACTGGTAGACCAATGAAGCGTGAAAACAAAAAACTTAAAGCAACATGTTTAAAAAAACGAAAATGCACAACAAAACAAATGAGGAATGGGAGTAAACTGGAGTCAGTGTCTGTGACCAAACTGCAAGAAACCATCTAAAGGAAGGTTTCTTGCAGTAAAAATAAGGAAAATAAGGTTACAATGGGCTAAGGAAAAGCAATGATGGACTGCTGATGACTGGATAAAAGTCATATCCGGTGATGAACTTCAAATCTGCATTGGGAAAGGTGATGATGCTGGAACTTTTGTCTGGTGCTGTTCCAGTGAGACACGCACATTTTCACAGTCATTGATGATATGGGGCTGCATGTCAGGTAAAGGCACTGGGGAGATGGTGGTAATTACATATTTAATAAATGCACAAGTTTACGTTGGGGTTTTGGACACTTTTCTTATCCCATCAATTGAAAGGATGTTTGGGGATGATGAAATCATTTTTTCAAGATGATGATGCATCTTGTCATAGAGCAAAAACTGTGAAAACATTGCTGGAAAAAAGACACATAAGGTCAAAGCTATGACCTGCAAATAGTCCAGGATCTTAAAAGGTAAAGTGAAGGATTTTTGCAAATTTTTGAAAAGACACGCCCGTGCACGAGCCTATTTCTCCACGTGCACGCTCTGTTTAAAAGTTGATGTTTGCATCGCTCATACAAGCTTACTTACCAAAAGAAGATTCGCAATTTTTTCACTACTTCAGACTCACCACCAATAAATGAAAATGGGGATATTTCTTTCCTTCTGTTTGGTCTAACAAACCCTTACTGATAACCACCTTTTTTATTTCTTTTAGTGTTTTATTTAAAACCAGACAGTTGCAATTTGAGATGACTTAAGTTTTTTTGTCATGTCTGTGACCTGTTTTATAAAAAAACTGAAAAAACATCTTCTGAGGCCGGTAATTATATAATTTTTGTCAGGGGTTGTAAATGGTTAAGGGGTGGTTACTGTATGCATCTCTATCCATTTGAGGCCACGCATACTGCCGAGGTCAATATGAAACATTTAGATGAGCTTCTCAGTGACTGGAAACATTCAGACAATATGGTGTAAAAAGTAAAGTGATGCGTCTCCCCAACAGGCTGCTTCACAAGAAAAACAAATTTTGAATTACTGCATGTAAGAATAGACTGCAACATGAGCAGACTGTGACTCACATCAGGTTGTCAAACTTAACTGAAAAAGAAAGGAATAACGAATAATATTGTCTGCATGGTGCAACAGTTTGTAGCACTGTTACCTTGTTCCAGGTTTGATTCCCTGTTCAGGGTCTTTCTGCATGTTCTACCCATGCATGCATGGGCTCTCTCCCACATTCCAAAAACATGACTGTGACCTCAATGTGTGTGTATGGTTATATGTCTCTTTGTTGCCCTGAAACAGACTGGTGACCTGTACAGGGTTTACTACTCCACCTTTCCCAATACACTGGCAGAGAAAGGCAATGGCCCCAGCATGACCCCTTTCTCTATTATATTTAATATCTAATAGAAAGTATTTATTGCAGAATATTTCAGCTGCAATCGAAATATTTTTGTTATTGCTTTTAGTCAAGGCAATACCACCTACTGTTTTATGATGAGTCCCAACCTATAATTTAAAAGCAAATTCACATTATATTCCTAAATAGACTCCAGACTGTAGAGTTTTAGTTGTAGTTACACAAACCTGCTAGGAATGGTGGATTAAAATGAATAAAAATGCAAAAATAAACAGAAACCCCACTTCATAAATAAATTAAAAAGTTAAAAGGGGAAAATAGGAAAGCAGTAATTAGATTGACTACATTGAATATTATTGTTATGAGAGATCACACACATATTTATTTTATTATTTTGGACAAAGACTATTTAATAAATTGCCAGCTTTTTAATAGACCTGCTACTTATACAGTGTTACACTAGTAATAATGATTTGTGGAAAAAACAAAAAAATACAATGCTGACACCACCAGCATTTAGTTTACAAGTTAATGTTGATATTTATTTGCATAAAACACAAGCGGAAACAAAGGTGCCGTTCTAAAAAGCAAAGGCAAAGTGTGGTAGCCTTTCAGCAGGTGACTGGCAGCACTAGCAAAAGTCGGAGGGAACAGATTAAATGTAGAGCTGAAACAATCAGATAAACCGTGATTAATCAATAATTGAAATAATCAGTTAATGATTAATCGATTACTAAATTATCTGACGGAGTATAGAGACTGTAAAACGTTCCTTTAGTTGACAGGGAGACCCACTTAGAGCAGTAATTATATCAAAATTGTAAAAAAATAAATAAATAAACATTTTTGAATTTCAGAAATGTTTATCAGTATTCTTTATCCAGAATGCCTCAGGTGGAAAGGTTTTAGTTTCACTTGGTTTACATTCGTAAAAGATCTTCAATTCAATTCCCTTTATATAGCACCAATTCACAACACGTCATCCAAAGGCACTTTACAGTTCAACCAGATCATACAGTCAAATTGATCCAAAGTTTTTCATGTAAGCAAAACCAGTTGATTGCATCGACTTATAGAATTGAAGGCAATCCCTCACACTAAGCATGCTTTTAGCGACAGTGGAGAGGAAAAACTCCCTTTAAACAGGAAGAAACCTCCAGCAGAACCAGGCTCAGTGTGAGCAGCCATCTGCTGAGGCCGACTGGGGTTCAGGGAAACAGAAGCAGATACAAAAAGCAACAAACTTCTTTGAGGAAACTTTTTCTATACTATTAATCAAATAATCAATCAAATAATTGTTAGTTGAAGCCCTAGTTAAGTACCTGGAAACTCACATTCTTATTAACTTAACATAAGCAACAGGTTTCTTTTAAGACGGAGGTCTTCAACTGGGGCTCCGCAACCCCTAGGGGGTCCACGGAGGTACTGTATGGGGGTCGCGAAAGCTTTGGTTGACTAGACTTTTTTTTTTGTATTCCCCCTGCAATTTTTTTCCACCAATTGAAACATCTTTAAATAAACATCAACATGCATTCCACACTGTAGTTAACTGATAAATGGAGGCAGAAGATGTCTTTCAGTCATCAATGCACACATTCAACAACACACAGGAGCTCTTTCAAGCTGGGTAACATTTCATTCACAACACCTGTCCCATCAACCAGGAATCAGAATCACTTTAATAATCCCAGGGCATCCCAATCCCAGGGGACTTTGGTTACATGACTCCATTGGTAATAGAGTAACAATAGGACCAGTTTGATATTACACAATGTCATAAAATATATATAATTAAGGGGTCCCCATTCCATCTCGTCATCAGTTTGGGGGTCCTTGGCCTGGAAAACATTGAAGACCCCTGTTTTAAGACATTCACAGTTTAAACCTCAGATTAAAGTGGCACTTTTTTAGGTTCTTTCCTATCAAGTTGTGTTATTCATTTTGATTGTATTTTTAGATGCTAAATACATTAAAGTGCTGATGGAAAACTGTTTTTGCTATTTATTTATAATGTATTTGATATAACAAGTTTAAAAAAAATATTTTGTATCAAATCCTAATCGACTCTGGCCCCACACTGCCCATCTGCTTCATGGGACTTTGAGATGAGAAGACTAACCATAGATGGCAATGGCTATGGAGATACATTTTGTCACATTATAGTATGGATAGGTTAGTGTTCCTGGTATAAATATACAAATGTATTTAAAGGTCAGGGTTAAATATTTTAAAAACCCATCATGTTTATCGACAAAAACAAATAAATGATGATGCAACTTTAGATTCTCAATGTTCTAATGTTACATAAAAAGGTAGTGGAGATATGTCAGCTTAGACAGGAGCACCTTACAGTTGTTACATAGAAAACTTTTAGTTAAATCCGGGATTAAACAAACGACATAGCAGTTATGGGCGGCTGTCAGTGTTTATTATATTTCCTCTCAAGTTTTAGCCAAATTGCGTTATTTACCAAATTATAACATTTATTTCAACCAACAAAACACCAAACAAGGGTATTTGCTGTCCAAATGAAAGCGAATATAACCATTACCTCCGTCCCAGAGCGCTAAATCCTTTCTGAGCTTCAAAGTGAAGCAGCTCGGCTAACATTAGCAGCTGTTAACAGACAGATGTTTCGGTAACGGGCGTCGATTATGATAGAAACCAATCTACTGTTAAAAGAAATCCCCACATTAAGCCACTGCAGCCATATAAAGGTATTCGGATATCAAGTCTTACCTTGGAGACGTTAAAGAAATACGAATTTGGAGGTTTTTTTCTTCCAGTAGAGATGTTACAGTAGGCGGCTGCTGGCAGCTAGCTAGCTGTGAGAACATAGACTGACAGCCGATGCTGTGATGGAGCAGCGGTTTATAAGACCACCGAAAGCCTGTCTTCACTTATATAATGGAGAAAAACACAACCCCACAGCCCTGCCTCATAAACGGAGGCGCTGTGCGTTACCTCTCGTTCCTTTCATTTTTCCTCACTTCAGTAAAACACTTCAGGGTTCTTAATTTTGGATCTGCGCTACGCAACAGCTCCTCCTGTTGATGAGTTGGGGAATTGCACGCGAGTAATTCATTTGCATTTTTAAATCCAGCCAAGATTATTTTCCTAGTCAAGTTTGTGTCCGTCTGTGTAAAGGAAAGTTAAGAACGGATTTTAATGATTTTTTTTACCAAAGGTGCACCTGGGTACAAATAATCCATTACATTTTAGTGATGATCCACATCATTAGCAGGATGCAGGAATTTTCTTGTTACATCAGCTTAAATAGTTGAAGGTGCCAAAGGAAGAAAAAAGGTACATGGGATATCTGTAATATAGTATAGTTCATGACAGTTTTTTTTTGTTTTTTGTCACCCGATTATTGCACAGGGTATTTATATAGATGGATAGTTATATTTATACAACTGGGTTTCAAATATAGAGAAAGAGGTTATTGAACTGGGTACCATATACAGGTGCTGGTCATAAAATTAGAATATCATGAAAAAGTTGATTGATTTCAGTAATTCCATTTAAAAAGTGAAACTTGTATATTATATTCATACATTACATACAAACTCATATTTCAGATGTTTATTTTGTTTAATTTTGATGATTACAAATAACAAATGAAAATCTCAAATTCATCATATCAGAAAATTAGAATATTACTGAAGACCAATAAAAACAAAGGATTTATAGAAATGTTGGCCAACTGAAAAGTATGAACATGAAAAGTATGAGCATGTACAGCACTCAGTATTTAGTTGGGCCTCCTTTGGCCTGTATTACTGCAGCAATGCGGCGTGGCATGGAGTCGATCAGTCTGTGGCACTGCTCAGGTGTTATGATAGCCCAGGTTGCTCTAATAGTGGCTTTTAGCTCTTCTGAATTGTTGGGTCTGGTGTATTGCATCTTCTTCTTCACAATACCCCATAGATTTTCTATGGGGTTAAGGTCAGGAGAGTTTGCTGGCCAATTAAGAACAGGGATACCATGGTCCTTCAACCAGGTACTGGTAGCTTTGGCACTGTGTGCAGGTGCCAAGTCCTGTTGGAAAATGAAATCTGCATCTCCAAAAAGTTGGTCAGCTGCAGGAAGCATGAAGTGCTCTAAAACTTCCTGGTATGTGGCTGCGTTGACCCTGGACCTCAGAAAACACAATGGACCAACACCAGCAGATGACATGGCACCCCAAACCATCACTGACTGTGGAAACTTTACACTGGACTTCAAGCAACGTGGATGAAGTGCCTCTCTTCTTTTCCTCCAGACTCTGGGACCTTGATTTCCAAAGGAAATGCAAAATTTACTTTCATCAGAGAACATGACTTTGGACCACTCACCAGCAGTCCAGTCCTGTTTCTCTTTAGACGCTTCTGACGCTGTCTGTGGTTCAAGAGTGGCTTGACACAAGGAATGCGACAGCAGAAACCCATGTCTTTCATACATCTGTGTGTGGTGGTTCTTGAAGCACTCACTCCAGCTGCAGTCCACTCTTTGTGAATCTCCCCCACATTTTTGAATGGGTTTTGTTTCACAATCCTCTCCAGGGTGCGGTTATCTCTCTTGCTTGTACACTTTTTTCGACCACATCTTTTCCTTCCCTTCGCCTCTCTATTAATGTGCTTGGACACTGAGCTCTGTGAACAGCCAGCCTCTTTAGCGATGACCTTTTGTGTCTTGCCCTCCTTGTGCAAGGTGTCGATGGTCGTCTTTTGGACAACTGTCAAGTCAGCAGTCTTCCCCATGATTGTGTAGCCTATAGAACTAGACTGAAAGACCATTTAAAGGCTTTTGCAGGTGGTTTGAGTTAATTAGCTGATTAGAGTGTGGCACCAGGGGCCATCAATTTTGAACCTTTTCACAATATTCTAATTTTCTGATATGATGAATTTGAGATTTTCATTTGTTGTCATTTGTAATCATCAAAATTAAACAAAATAAACATCTGAAATATATGAGTTTGTATGTAATGTATGAATATAATATACAAGTTTCACTTTTTAAATGGAATTACTGAAATCAATCTACTTTTTCATGATATTCTAATTTTATGACCAGCACCTGTAGTAATTTTTAAGGATTATTTGGCAGAACAAGCACCTCCCTCCTAAACCACTGTGGCTGCAGTGACCATTGACAGCTTCAGCATCTGACTCAAAAAAGTTCAGAAGTATTATACTTGGCAAGAAAACAACGGAAAGGTGAGACATGCCTCACTTGAAGTTTGAACTGCTGAATAATTAAGCGGAGTGAATGAAGGTGAGAGCTGAACATTTAGTAATAACCCAGATCATGTGTGAGCTTTCGCTAGGGGTAATGGTACGTGGCAAAATTTGCTACTTGGCAGAGGTCTGCTCTCTAAAAATGCTTTTCTAGTTTGTGTAATGCATTTATGTTCTTAAATATGACATTTGTTAATACTATTGTTCTTAAAAAGTAAATATTAAGGTTTTGCGTGTTTTTATCTGTTAAGTCTTATTATAATAAATGTTTTCATTTTGATATTGTAATAAATACTTAGATTGACCAAGATGATATTTTAGTTTTTTTTTCTCCCTCAAATTACAGTTTGAACTATCTTGAGCTTACCGAGTTTCTTTCCAAACAATTTGGAATTTCTCCATGATTTTACATCAAAACCACAAACTGCCATTTTTATTGAGATTTCACATAATAAATCAATCAGAATAAAAATTTCAATTAACTGCTGTTGTGGTTAAATCCTAATGTTGGCCTTGCAATCCTGAAAAGAAATGAAAGCAAAGTAAAGACAGACTAGGGATTGTAATCTGAAAGGTGTTTATTTCAATACAAAATAAAATCAACGGGATGAATGGCAAAAAGCACAGCATACCAAATATCAAATTATTTCAAATCCAAAGAAGACAAAAATGGAACAAAAAAATTAAAAAGTTATCGCCTCTTTTGGAAGATGTTTCCTCTTCCAATTCCACCACGACCTCGCCCTCTTGCAGCCACTGTAACAGACAAAAAGGATTTAAAATCAAAACCATACATTTTACTAATTAAGTGGGGAAAAATTTAAATATATGTCCCAAAGAAATCACAATAGATTTTCCAAAAACAACTACAGAAAAAATATATATTGCTTAAAAAAAAATACAGACTAGGGATTATTTACACTTATTTGTAACCTTGACAATCTCCCACACGCATCGACTATTATGTCCACTCTAGTAAACCTTTAAGGAGCATCAAAATCACGTTCCACTCACCTTGTGCTTTTAGAATGGCCGCCTTGCCTCTTCCTGCACCAGATCCCTGGTTCTTGTTCTTCATACTCTTCAACATGGGAGCATTCTTTAACATATCAGGCAAGATCAGAAAACGGATCTTGCTTCCTCGGATGTAGACCTGCTCCAATTGCGCAACCCGTCCATCACGATAGGTCACCGTAATATTTGACATCTATAAAGAGAAGTTAAAAAATTAAAGTTCAAATTCAGCATCAGATTTTCCATAAATATAAACATTATGTGAGGAACAAACAGCTAAAATCTCCCATCTACTATCACTTCAGAGGCACTGCCAATGAGTTACTTTCTAGTCTTTCTCCACATCAAAACTTTATCTTTCTTCCAGTCTTCAGCATTAAAAGTTGAAACAAGTGTTGTAGATTATATTGTTATACTATGTTAAAACTTTGATATTGTGAAAACTTACTTCATGGTGACGATCCAAGAAGAATTTCATAAACAGGATCACTCTTAAATATGAACTAATATATCCTGTCATTTACAGAGCAGTTCTTTATAAAAAAAATTCTCAGCAAATTTTTTATGAAGTTTCATCTATAATTTTTCAAACTTATTCATCTCATTTAAGCTTTCTATGATCAGTTGTGCTTTGCAATTTGGGAATTGTAATTTGTGTCAAATATGTGAACCTACCGCACTAAGATTCCATCTAGCAGTTAATGATTACTCTGGAATGCAAAGAGTGAGTTTGTTTTTTAACCAGCTCTGCATTATAACAGTGCTTTGTGAAAGTAACATTATAAAACATTATTATTGCACAGGGAATATGCAGGAATTACTTTGACTTTTAATTCTCTCACAATTTTTTGTTTTATGCCAACACAGAGTTGCAGCTGTGGAGGGAACTTTCTGACAATGGTGAAGAGTAACTAAAGTTATTGAAAACATCCCAATTTTTTTTTAAGCTCTGCAGTGGTTAAGTTTAGAAAAATTCAAAATCAAGAACTATTACAAAAATTACAGGTTACTTATTTTACCCCGGTAAAAACAAGTGATCTGTAAAACATTTGTAAATTAAACCTAACCCAAGACAAAAGCAATGTCATCACCATCTGTATGAAGAGAACACAGTCTCATTAGTACCATCTCAGTGAGTCAGAATGACACAAAAACCCAGAAAGTTAAGGGACTCCAACATTTAACATAACTGCCATTCTAATGGAAAAAATAAAAATTTATAGACTGACATTAAACTATATTTGAGCAATTAAGCTATGTTGGATAGAGCAAAAAAATAAAATAAAAATCAGATCATATAAATAACTTTTTAATGGCATTTAACAAGCCTACAGGCACCCTGTGGCAACACAGTTAAGATGTATTTTGCAGCCTGAATCTACTACATGATTCATAAATTCATTAATGATCCAGAGTTCGCATTTGGAAAAGCCTATAAATAAATATCAAGAGAGCAGATCAGGAAAAAAAGGAGTGTGAGGAGCTGTCATCAACTAGATATTCTGGGGCTATCAAATACAAAATGTTCACAAACATCACACAATATTGGATGATGTGTCAAGTTGGTGCTATTTAAATCATCCGAAGTAACTTAACAGTGCATTTGAATGATTTGTTTGGCATAGTAAAATCTGATTGGATGACCAATGAATAATCAGAACAGCCAAGTAAAGTTTTTAATTTGCTGACCCCTTCATGGTTTGCAAATATTCGGCCCAGAAAAGTTCTAATGAGCCAGTTTTTCCATTGCAAACTAAAATTGGACATGTGTCTCTTCAATGTTACAATTGGTGATTATATA